GCAGAGAGGACCCAGGCCCCACGACACACCCTCGTCCAGGAGCCGCCCAGCCAACACCATCTTTCAACAAGGACACAGTAGAAGGATCCCGGTGGGGTCCTGGGCTGTCTCATCCTCAAATACACCAGGTCATAGCTGACATTCCCTGGGAGCTATAGTGGCAGTCCCCTTTGTGAGCACAAAACCCAAACTCCTTCCAGTGTGTGTGTGTGTGTCTGTGTGTGTGCACGCGCGCGCATGCTCACATCACATCACACGCCTCCACTTGCAGCTGAGAGCCGTCAGACCACTGCAGGGCTTGCCTTTCACATGAGCCTTATTTCAGGCTGGGTCAGGGGAAGGAGAGATTGACCAGCAGCCATCTCATTCAACTGAGTTCCTCAAAAATGAGCTAAATCAAACCAGGTCGGGGTGGTTTTGGGAGGTGGGGTGATTTTGTTTGTTTTTCTATTTCTTAAAAAAAAAAAAACTTCCAGCGGAATTTTTTTTAGCTGCTGATTTTAAATGTTAATGAAAAAACATGAATTCAAAGGCACATCCCTGAGCCACTGACACAGGAGTTGCCCTGAGGTTTGCAACAAATTCTCCACGCTGGAGCAGGCAGGGCAACCAGGGTTTCAGGAAGAGCTGTTTTGTTACAAGTTCTTTATGGCAACAGCCCCCACTCCACCAGTGGTCACCATTATGTATCAATTTATGTATCAATGCCAGTTGTGGAGGTGAATGGGACTTTGTTTTAATCACTCTTGATGGATCCTCTCTGCTTTCCTTCCCAAGAAGACCTGGTCCCCCAGGCCAGGCTGAAAAGGGGCTGGGTGTGAGCCTGCTGCCCCGAACAGCGAGGAACAGACACACAGAACAGATGGATCACCATGAGCCGGGTACCCACAGCCAAGGGCAGAATCCAAACAGGTTCCCACGGGGCTCGTGAGCGTGGGTGGCGTGTTAGAATGTCCCCAAATACTTGACAGAAAAAGTGCCAGCACTTCATTTGATAAAAGACAGATTGCAACCAGCAGCTTACAATAGTTCCTGATTAATCTCAACACTGCAGGGAATACCTGCATCCTATCGGATATCAGGAGGGAAGATGAAACAGCTAGGGGTCCCAGGTGAACCTGGGACTAGGGCTCATTTCGCAGAGCAAGCTCGGGTGAACGATGCAGAGATGGTCCTCTGTCTTAACGTAGTGTGGGTCAGGCAGGAAAACAGTGCCCCTGCCAGAGGCTGTGGGACACAGATCAGCCCTTCTTCTTAGCCTTGGCTCCTTCATCCGTCCCTCAGTGGTGCTTCTCTTCATAGTAACTGGGTGCCCGTGACTCTTCCTGGAGACTGCGGGCTCTGCATCCAATTCAGGACTGCGATCTGGCCCCCACCTCGTGGGATTCAGTTTCAGAGCCTCATCTCCACTCAGTGGACTTTCCAGAGACCTGGCTGGCCACTGACGGCCCGGAAGGAAGTGGGCAGAGGCAGCTCGGACTGGCCAATCCCCTCCCCGCACCGACAGATCCCACTTTCCAACTGACGCCACAAACTCGACCCTCCACCGCAGAAGGAGCGAGTCGCAGGAGGGTCGAAAGTTGAGATGACGACCTAGTACGGTTTCCAAGCGTATTTCTGAGGCTTCTGGGGCCGCCAGGAGCCTGTGGGGAGACACTGCAGGAAAAAGTCACGAAGGTTCATAATGCTGTGTGTTGCATTCCTTGGGTGTAGCTGAAGACACGGAAGGCCTCTGAACACTGTGGTCATTCCAGCTTTTCCCTCCCCTCTCCCGGCGGTGAGCCTGGCAATGGGGCTGACTGTAGAACATGTGATTCACGGGAGCAGAGAGAAAACACCGTCCTCACACCACACACGCAAGGTATCAGACGGGGAGGAACCAGTTCTAGAGGTAAAATCGATGGGTGGCCCATCTGTGTTGTCACAGCCACCTCTTCGTACACAGAGGTTGAATTTTTTTCTTTTTCCTAAATACAAGGGTTCACTTCCACGAGAGGCAACTGAGAGGCCCTGTGAAGTGACTTCACGTCCACTCCAAAGCCATTTCAGCCGCCAGAGTCCCGAGTTTCTAAGAATCAAGAAGTCTCAATGGGAGGGGTGATTCCCAGGCATTGCCCTGGGAAAAAAAGCAGCACTGACATTATCTTAGAAATATTTCTTCTGTCTAGTGTGATAACAACTCACTCAGATGCTAAAAAGTGTTAAAATATAGCTCACCTTTCGCCCTAACTCTATATATATATAAATCCCTGAGAAGGTACCTGTCAAGTTGAAATTCACTATTTACAGTTACTAAACATCAGGAGTGCAAAGCAGACAGCAGATCCTCTGTACAGCAGGGCTGAGCTCTCATCTGTCAGGTGAAACTGCAAGTCACTCAGTTGTGTCCGACTCTTTGCGACCCCATGGACTATGCGGTCCATGGAATTCTCCAGGCCAGAATACTGGAGTGGGTAGCCTTTCCCTTCTCCAGGGGAATCATCCCAACCCAGGGATCGAACCCAGGTCTCCCGCATTGCAGGAGGATTCTTTACCAGCTGAGCCACCAGGGAAGCCCCATCTGTCAGGAGAGCAAGCTAAATCTCCCTCCCTATACAAAAAGAAGGTGGTGGATGGGGCGGAATTCTGCACAGAAGCAGCGGGCGAAATCTGCCGTCCATTCACTCTTGAGTGTCTGGAGGGCATGATATCGTAAGTCATCAGGGACACTGGATCTCTCATGACTCCATGGTTTTCTGCTCTTTTTAGACCTCTAAGTAGTGGCGCCAGGGATGATCAAGGCATTTTAGCTAAATCTGGAGCAGCAGATAGGCAGAAAACAAAAAAAAAGAAAAAGAAAAAGTGAGGGGAAAAGGAGGCAACAGGGCCATCAGGGAACATATGTGGTGACAGAGCTGGGGGCGGGGGACACTGCCCATCAGTGACCCTTTCCCTGACTGGCACTTGGGGAGAGGGAGGGGTGAGTCCTCGGGGAGAAAAGTGCAGCCAACCATTCAAAGCAACCAAAACATATCAACACAAAACATGATCTCAGTGCAGGGTGTGGACTGGACCATCGGGGAGACGAGACGCGTTTCTCTCCACCTCGGGGACCAGCGCTCATCTCATCCAAGGGCACTTGGCCAAGCCCAGCTCTCAGGCTCAAGGGTGACCCACAGCCTACCACATCAGTGATGCTCAAAGCGGGTCCAGACCTATGGGCCATTCTTCCTGGGCCCTTCTAGAACGAGAGAGGAATTCATTAAAATCTGACTTTAAAAGCTGTATTATCGTCACATCTGCCTCCCATTAGCCTGGGTGCAGCCTGATGGTCTGTTCATTGAGGTTTTTTGGAGAGATGAGTGTAAGATGCTCGATGTCTGATGGTGGGGGGCAGGGGGAAAGAGGAGGGAGAGGCCAGTGCCATGTACCCACATCATGAGATGGATGGGCGCTTGTCGCCATGTGGCCAGGGAGCACAATTTCCCCTGTGAATCCAGAGATAGAATAAACAGCTTTCCATTAGTCTGTAATGGTTTAAATCGATGGCTTATATGCAGGATAATATTTAAATAAAGTGCTGTTGGTAGTGCATATGTGAGAGATACTCTGCAACCCAGATAGCCAGACATTCATTAGTATTTCTCAGCTTTTTTGGAGATAAAACTATGGGCAGAAAATTCCCACAGAGAGCTCAGGCAAACCACACCTGTGCACTGCCAAAGTTCCCGAATCTTGGAAAGTCTACAAAGTCTGCATGAGGATGAACTGAACACGAGGGGCCATCATCAAAGGAAAAATAAAATTCCACACCAGGGATCTCTTGGAATTGAGTCGGGAGGAGGAAGCAACCCAGCTCACTCCAGGAGAATTTGCCAAAAATATGTTTGCTTAATATTCAGCTCTAATCCCTATTTCTCAAAAAATGTATGGCCCACCCATGTCAGTAGTTTGCAGAACTCTACGCTTTTAGCATCTTTTTTTACATCTTAAGGATATTTGAATTCAATTGTCTAAGAGCACATAACTTAATTTTGTATTTCTAGTAATAATTTATTAGAGTTGCCTCCATTTTCTTAAACACTTTTTTTTTCTATTTTTGAGTATGTTCAAGACTTTATATGCAGATTATCTAAAACCCCTTGCTTAAAATGAGCTTAGTTCTAGCAATAAATACACACTCCTCTATATAGTCTCATACTTTGACAATTGGTTTTCTTCATTTTTACCACTGGATGGACAAGAGAGCTTCAGAAATTAAAGGAAATTTGACTACTCTGTCTTACTTGGTCATTTTGTGGTAAAGCAGCAAATGCCTTTATCCAATAGAAATCTTCAACATCACTTAATCCAATTAAGGACGTGTGGTGCTTATGAGCACCCCCCAAGGAGATGGAAAGGCAAAGCCCCCAATAAAAAAAAAGCAAAAGAGGGCCCACAGGAGGAGAAAGCCACAAATTCTATGTGAAATCATAGAGATATCACAAATAATTATTGCTAGAAACAGTATTTTAAACAAAGGGTCTTCAGACAAATGCATTAAGACCGTCATAAATATTTACAAAGAGCCCTATCACTGGTCAAGTAATGTAAGCTGGATCATAACTGAAAAATACAAAACTATACAGAAAATGTCCTTTGGATAAATTGGTCTTAAATATTCTTCACTGAGGTTCTAACGGGGCTTTCCTGGTGGCTCAGTGGTCGAGTTTTAGGTAGAATGCCCACTAGGAGTACTGACTGCTGGGGGAACTGGTTTTAGGCGATTCAATTAGGGCTCGGCCCAGTTCACTCTTGGGTGCAGCCTGAGCAGACAGGAACGTTTTCTGGGCCCCGGAGGGAGCCTATGCGCCCGGGCTGTGCTGTGCGTAAAAGGCAAGGGCGGGGGGCGGGGACGCACACTTGCAGGGAGGACCGCACCCAGCGTCCCCGCCGCCTCCCCCGGGGCTCCGGGCAGCTTCGCATCCCCGGTCGGCGGGCTCTGCGTGCGGCCTCACCCCGCGCGCCGAACACACCCCGCCTCACGTCCTTTTCCTCCAGGACGACGTCCGCTTTTCCTTCTGCGCCGCGGCCAGCCGCTGCTTCTCCGCCTCCTCCGCCTTCCGCTTCTCCTCCTTGGCCTCCTTGTACCGCCACTTGGGCAGCTGCAGGTGGCTGCTGTCCTTGGTGCTGCCGCGGGCCGCCCGCTCGGGCTGGAAGGTGGGCGCGGGCGCCTTGCTGACGCGCACCTTGGGGATGGCCACGCCGGGTCGCACGCTGCTCCGCCGCAGCAGCTGCAGGGGCAGGAGGCTGGCCCTCCGGGGGGCGGCCGGCGGCTGCGAAGACGCGAGGCCGGCTCGGGGGGCCTGCTCTTTGGAGACCCCCGCGGCCTGGGAGGTCTGGGATTGTGGCTCAGGGCCCCTCGCCTGGGCTTGCGTGTCCGGGTCCCCGCGCGACGCCAGGATCTCCTGCACCGCCAGCCGCCTTTTGCCCACACAGGGGGGGCTCTCGGGGCACACGGTCTGGCAGACGATGGCCACGGCGGGGCTGTAGAGGCTCGTGGTCATCTTGACCATGTGGTCCAGGGCTCCCCCGTCCTCCAGGCCTTGGCGCGAGCGGGAGGTCAGCGTGGACCGGACAAAATCCGTGAGCTTCTGCAGGCAGCTCTTGGAGCCCGCGGGCTTCTGACCCGCTTCCGGGGCCAGTGGCAGCTCTGGCTTGTACTTTTCCCCAAACTGCTCGGGGCAGGGTCGCTCCAGTAGCCTCTGGATGACCCGAACCGCTTCAAACCGTCCAGTGTAGGTAGCCCACTCCTGGGAGGACATTCCCCGGCGGGAGTCCCTGGCATGGACATCCGCCCCTGAAAACCAGAAAGAGGAAATAGGAATGGGTGGGTGCAAGCAGACCTTTTCCCTTCCACAGGCAGAAAACAAAAGACAACAGAAGACAGAGACAATTGACTCTACCTTGGAGCTGGGCCGCCTGGATGAACCCACACCTGACTGTGACTGCCTGTGTTTACTCTTATAACACAACCCACCTTGAAGTGCTCAACGTCATGGTTTGTGCTGCGCTTAGTCACTCAGTCGTATCCGACTCTTTGTGACCCCATGGACTGTAGCCTGCCAGCCTCCTCTGTCCATGGGATTCTCCAGGCAAATACTGGAGTGGGTTGTCATTCCCTTCTCCAGGGGATCTTCCGGAGCCAGGGATCAAACCTGGGTCTTCTGCCTTGGCATGCGGATTCTTTACCCCTAGCACCACCTGGAAAGCCCCTCTTTCCTATAACTAAAACTGCCGAAACTCAGCACCTAAATTGTGGAATTCTTTTTTATAGAAATAAGACTTCAAGAATTTCTGGCAATGGAGAGACAGGTGGTTTGTAACACCTGGCAGATGCTCCTAGAATGTTCTAAAAATACTACCAGTAACTGTCACTGGCAAAGCATTTGCTGTCCTATTTATCAACTCTCCTTTTCCTCCAAGATCTCATTCCTGGAGGTTATGATTCTTATTTTCACAGGAAGTGTGTGGTTCTTCTCTTTTGGTACTTCAGGTTAGCTGGTCACGGGTCTGTCGTCTTTACCAGACAGTGGGCTTCCAGGACAGAGGCACATCTGAGTTGTTTTTGCTTCCTTAACATATCTTTCTGGCTGGTGGGAGGCATGCATTTAATAAATGTCTCTTACAATGGAGGGTAGCCACAGTCGCCGAAGGCATATGCCTGAGGACTCGAAGCTGATAAGAGAGAAGTGTCCAGACCTGGGTCCTGCCCCTCAGCAGTCCGCATGTCCCCGACCCCGCAGGGAGGCCTCCTCCCCTGTGAGCTTTCTCTGTCAACAGAGCCCAGGTCTGGTGTCAGGGATTTAATCCACAGTAATCTAAGTGCACTCTGAAAGTGTTTTGTACATGCAATCAGCATCCATAATCACCTGACTTTATGTCAAAGAGATTAGTGCCCAAATGTGGGTGAGCCTCGTCCAACTAGCTGAAGACCCTAGAACAAAAGCTGATGTTTTCAGGAGAAGAAAGAATTCAGCCTTCAGACTGCAGCATCCATTTCTGCCTAAGTCTCCAGGATCCTGGCCTGTTCTACAGATTCTAGGCTTACTAATGCCAATTTCTCTAAAATGATGGTTGTTGTTCATTCACTCAGTCATGTCCAACACTGCAGCTCCACGGACTGCAGCATGCCAGCCTTCCCTGTCCTTCACTATCGCCCGGAGTTTGCTCAAATGCATGTCCATTGAGTCAGTGATGCCATCCAACCATCTCATCCTCAGTCACCCCCTTCTCCTGTCTCAATCTTCCCCAGCATCAGGGTCTTTTCCATTGAGTTGTCTCTTCACATCAGGTGGCCAAAGGATTAGAGCTTCAGCTTCAGCATCAGTCCTTCCAATGAATATTCAGGGTTGATTTCTTTTAGGATTGATGGGTTTGATCTCCTTGCAGTCCAAGGGACTCTCAAGAGTCTTCTCTAGCACCACAGTTTCAAAGCATCAATTCTTTGGTGCTCAGCCTTCTTTATGGTCCAACTCTCACATCCATACATGACTACTGGAAAAAAAAAAAAACCTCCCTAAAATAATTCTCTTAATATATATCTCCCACTCGTTCTGTCTTTCTGGAGAAATCTGCCTCCTACATCTTCACAGTCTCCCTTACACAAGTCACTGCATTCACAAATCTCCCCATACCACCCACTGCCCCTCCTAATACTGCAAAGTTAATCTTCAATGCAACTTGATGAAATGTTTGTAAGTTTCAGTAAAAGAGAAATTAATAAGGAATTGCTGTTCAGTTAATCTTGGTCCAATCTCAGCCACATATACAGTTAAAAATCATTCAGGATTTCAAGTCCCCTTAGTCATATTTCCACTGGCAAAACAACATGGTGAAATAGGGCAGTTACCTAGCCTGCAGGCCCCGCAGGGACCAGGCTTGGAAGAGGCTTCTGCATGTACATCCCACACAGACGGGGGTGTCCGACACGCGAAGGCTGGTGAATAAGCACCGAGAAGAGGAGTAGGGGTCTCAGTGTCTCCCTTGTCCTGCAGCCCCCGTGGCCCCCTGGCCCAGGCAGACCCAGCTCACCTGAGTTCGCCCAGTAACACTCTTAATGCTGTGACACATTAAAGAATCACCATATTAGAAGAGTGATAATTATTTGAAACTGGAAATCAGGATGGAACTCATTAGCTAGAGTACAATTTATAAACTGACTCAAATGAAAAGGGGGCAGTAAAAACGTCATTGCAAAAAATAGATGACACATTAAGCCTTAATTAATTGCATGTCACTTGAAAAGGAGCAAACTGCAAAATTAAAATCTTAATGAACACGGCCTGAAAGAGACATTTTTCAAATGCTAATGGAAAACTAAAGGAACAGCTGTCAAAAGTTGAGTGTGCCTCTTCCTCTCCAAAATCATCTTGGAAAATACAAACACTTGAAAGAACAAAGGCCATTCTGACTCTAGTGCTGCCCAAGAGTCTTGAGTCATGCTACAAATGAGGGATTCACTTCCTTAAGAAATCACTGTGATTCAGGGTAATATTAAAGGCCTGGACACAGTCGTTAAATCATGACAGACAAGTACTGATGATTACCATTTTATGCATATACCTCTCAGAGAGTATGGAGCAGTTCTGAAAGGCCAGTGTACCAGTCTCCTGCCCAGGAGACTCTTGGTATCCTCACCCCCAGCCCCTGTTGTTTCGCCCAGGGCTTCAGCAGCGCAAACAAGAGCTGAGCTCCTACAATTAGTTCATTTGCTACCAAGTTGAGTGCTGTGAGTTGTCTATACAGGATCCTCTATTTTATTCAAGGCAGCAACTACTCAGTTCTAGGCAGTCCCTCGTCACTGGTCTAACCCTTAGTTTCAGAACTTCGGAACTATTTGAACTGTGGTGTTTGAGAAGACTGAGAGGCCCTTGGACTGCAAGGAGATGACACCAGTTCTTCCGAAAGGAAATCAGTCCTGCATATTCATTCGAAGGACTGAGGCTGAAGCTGAAACTCCAATCCTTTGGCCACCTGATGTGAAGAGCCAACTCATTGGAAAAGACCCTGATGCTGGGAAAGACTGAAGGCAGGAGATGAAGGGGACGACAGGATGAGACGGTTGGATGACATCACTGACTCAACGGACATGAGTCTGAGCAATCTCCAGGAGATGGTGAAGGACAGGGAAGCCTGGCGTGCTGCAGTCCACGGGGTCGCAGAGAGTCGGACATGACTGAGGGACTGAACGGCAACCACACTGACGTTTCGGCCAGATGACTACGTGGTGGAGGCTCTCCTGTGCTGGCAGGACTTTAGACAGCATCCCTGGTCTCTGTCCACTAGAGGCCAGTAGCGCTCCATCAGTTGTGAGAGCCGAACCTGTCCCTGGAGGAGCCACCCACAGCTCCACTCCACTGAGGATCACAGTGCTGACCTCTGTGTCCTGCCATCTTGTTTTCCATTTTCCCAGCCTCCCTTATAACTGGGCATGAGCCCCAAGGAGAAGGCTGCTGCATCCCTGATCAAAGGGACGCTTGGGACTCCCCTGGTGGTCCAGTGGTGAATCCGCCTGCCAATGCAGGAGTCACAGGTTCAATCCCCGGTCCGGGAACTAAGATCCCACACAGAGGGGCAACGACGCCCTGGGCACTGAGCCTCCTGAGCCCTTGCTCTAGAGCTACGACTACCGACGCCCACGTGCCCCACCGAGCCCACGCTCTGCAGCAAGAGAAGCCCCAGCGATGCAAAGCCCGCACACCTCAACCCGAGAGTAGTCCCCGCTCGCTGCAGCTAGAGAAAGCCCACACATAGCAACAAAGACCCAGCACAGCCATAAATAGACACATTGATTAAGTCTAGGAAAAGGGGCCACGTGGTCAGTGATGCTGCTTCCTGTCCGAGACACGGATCTGAGCCCCGGAGTCCCGGTGAGCATCCGAGCTCTTCATGAGGTGACCAGTTGATACACTACAAGGCAGGGAGGGTGGAGGGTGCAGGGGCAGTGCTGAGTCAACAGAAGGACAGAGGAGGAAACCTGGGTCTGTGATGTTCTCAGGGAGTCAGGGCCAGCTCTGCAAGGTGACTTCCAGTGAGGTCAGACAAACAGCTGCTTGCTTTATTTAATCAACTCTCAAGTCAGGATTTCTGTTATTGGAAGAGGCAAAGCTCCTAAAAGGGACTAAAGGAAGACAGTTTACCTTCTCTTGCTCATTCTTAGGACCCTTTCCCCCAAGAGTCAAGGCCGGGTCCATGGGACCAGCAGGAGGCAGGCAGAGCCCAGGATGCATCACCTCCTTTCCTACGTCTCTGTAAGCCCCCAACCCATGTGATGTGCTAAGTCACTTCAGTCCTGTCTGACTCTGTGTAACCCTATGGACTGTAGACTCTGTACAACACTATGGACTGTCGACAGGTTCCTCTGTCCATGGGATTCTCCAGGCAAAAATACAGGAGAGGGTTACATGCCCTCCTTCAGAGGATCCTCCCCACCCCGGGTTTGAACCTTGGTCTCCTGCACTTCAGGTGCATTCTTTACCATCTGAGCTACCCCAGGAAGCCTATCCCCAAGCAACCTACCCTTCAAATGAAGGCCCCACTCCAGTTTACCCCCACCAAGAGGGCTTTCTGCTCATGTTAGACACGAATGGGTCCACGCTCCATCCTGGATTGAGTGGGGGGGTCATCTTTCCCTCCCCACCTAGACACAGGTGATTACAACACACCTAGAGCGCTTCCCCTTTTGTGGTCAAGGACAGCTAAGTTTCCAGCCTTACCAGAACAGAACGAGATAAAACCACCTGCACAGGCCAGCGCAGGCGCACCGAGACCTAAAAGGTGACTCGTAGTAACCCTGGG